GATGAATATCTGTCGTGGATTTTGCTAAAGTTTCATCTTTGATGACTTACGTAGAAATAAATATTGATGGTAAACACTGTCTCTACACAAGTGTCACATACAAGGGGGGTCGTATCAAATCACCCATGAAGGGGGGGGGTCGTAAAAAATTTCCAAAGAGTAACAACGATAGGGTTGACCCTGGTGGAGGTGATGTTGGCATCGCGCCGATCACTTGGGACGGAGCGCCTCTATGCAGACAAAATGGGTGGGAAGGTCATTCGGACAATTTTAGTGTGTTCTTGTTTTTGCAGTGTTTCGTACTCGGTGAAACTTCTCTAGATATTGTGATTGTTAAACACTGTTTCATGGGCGCTCACATTATTGACTTGCTTCATGTGGGTTCTCCAATTTATTTACTATGGGCGCGGTGTAGCTGGGCCAACCGTGCGTAGGTCAGAGTATAGCGAGGGGGTCGTATTTGGCCGACGGAGTGGTATGCGCAGGTGTTTTGTCGCATGCATAGGGATAGTTGAAGCTGTAGGGGACTCAAATGTGTGCAGAAAAATCACTAGCTGAAACTGCATGGGTTTTGATGAAATATCGGAAAGATGCGACCAAAGCTCTAGAAACTTAGGCCTACAGCGTCAAACGACTGAAATCAAACGATTCGCTGTTGCGGTGCTTCTCTCCCAATCCCAACGAGAGCATGGCGCATCCCAGAGCAGAAGTTGTTCCGGAAAACCGGACTATTTTTGATTCTTCGTAGGCACAAATATTGTTTTACAGGAAACTCGGTGTTTTTGGACCACTCCCTGACCGGTAGAGAAAGGGTAACCGCTCAGGTGACTCAACTTTTCAAGGTGCGCAAGGAAATATTGGGTAAAGAAAAACTCTGTATCGGTGGGATGGGCTGTACCTGGTATGAAGCACAAAGCTTGTGGTATTGACTCATTTCCACAATATTGAGTTTGAAAAGAGTTGTGACCAACTGGATCCAGAAAACGCGCGTTTCAGGAGAATCAATGAGAAAGTTCAATTTTGATATGAGCTTAAGATTCCTTAAAAACTCTGATCTCTCATTTCTTTACACGTGACGTAAAGGATTGGTAACGAATTGGAGGAAGTCTGAAGTTGCGACCAAAAAAACCTGCGTATGCACAGAAAGGCGGATTAACGGTACAGCTATAAAAAAAGGATAAAGCATTAGACGTTGATATCTGCGATGTGGCCTATACAATGACTTGCGGGGGCCAGCCGATGTACAAGTCAGTGTTTTTATCCTCCCAGACAAGTCTGGTACCAATTAACCGACCCCGGAGGGATGGAAGGCTTGGTTGGCCCGGGCGACTCACGACCCAGGATTTGATCCCCGGACCGCTCGCGTGGTAAGCGCGCCACTTGTCACTACACCACTTCCGCCCACGGTACAGCTATAGACGAAATTAACATTTACAAAAAGTCGAGTACTTTATAGAGAAAAATAAATTGAAGTTTTTATTTCTTATGAATATTCTTACAATTCATATTTGAGGAAATACAACTTTCGAAAAAGAGCAGTGCACACCTTGTGAAATCTAAACTATTCTTCATAACAATGAAGCTTGCCATATCATGGTAGTTCTAGAACCAGCAACTCCTGCAGATTACAAATGCTTAAAATTTCATAAAAAGTAAAGTCTTATTATAAAACGTATGTTAGACCTATCGTAGAGTGTGGAACATCAGTGTTCTGCCCTCATAAGAAAAAAGATGTCCAGTTACTTGAGAGAATTCAAGATAATTTCACGAGGAAATTAGTCATTGAGTCCAGGATGGCCTCCTATTCCAATTTACCTGATCCTACTCGCAGAAATCGATGTTTTAAATTATACAGCTTAAATTCCCGCAGAAAAGTTTACGATGTTTGCATGGTATTCAAAATATTGTCAGGTATTGCCAGAGTTGATGCATCCAAATTTTATGAAAGGGTCAAATCAAAAACTAGAGGTGGATCGGAGAAGATTTCATATGCAACGCCACGAACCAACTTAAAGCGATACAGCTTTAAGTGTCGAGCTGGATCTATATTCATTAATCTAAAATCAAAAGTGACTCCTGTCTTCCCTGCTTTTTTACTTTTCAAACGCCTCGTGAAGAAGGAATTGTTGAGCTATGGTTAGTAGAAGTGTACAGCATCAAATTGTCTTGTATGTTTCTCACGTCTGCCTTATGCAGCGTTACAAATAAATAAATAAATAAATAAATAAAAATAAAGAACAAATAAAGTCTGAAAAAATTGAACTCATTGGACATTATTAATTCGTGTCACTCTTTTTCCGGCAGGTTGGGGGAGGAATTGTGCGCCATGGGGCATGACATGCGCTGGTGTCATTGGGGAGTCTCCACTGCACACCATATCGTTACTGGAAAGATAGGGGGGGGGGCGGGTCGATCGAGACTAAGAGGATTGGGCTTCAAAGTTTTGAAATCGGACCATCGCGACGGTTCACCTTGCGTAGAACAGGTACAACGCCTAATCAAGCGCATTTCAACCAAGCATGTTGCTCCAGTGTGCTATGACAGCCCCCAGACTAAATACTGCGAATCTTTATCGCGCGCGGCTCATGTTCTGTACTTTTCCACATACTCTTATTATGGATATTCAGGTCGACTGGATCACTACGTAGATCTTCAATTAGTACAATGTCTTCAGAAATCCTGCAAGCCATAAAGGAATCTCCTGATGACGTTTTTGAAGATACCCAAGAAGACACTGACAACACAGAAGGTTCAAATATGTGGAAGTAAGTTAATAATTTAGTTGCAGGGTACGGGATACCCTACAGGGAACCCAATTTTTAACCGCAGTCGAGGATTTTCGCCTGGGGTCGGTAAGGTATGCTTCCCCGAACAGGAGAGGGACCCTCCCTGGTAAGGTATGCTCTCCCCGAAAACTCTCGGGAAAGGCAATGCCACCGGTTCTCGGGGATGTCTCCCGGACTGCATGTCAATCACGGGGATATCTCCCGATTGCATGTCAATCGGGGAGATATCCCCGAGAACCGGTGGCGTGGCCTTTCCCGAGAGTTTTCGGGGAGAGCATACCTTACCAGGGAGGGGTCCCTCTCCTGTTTGGGGAAGCATGACTTACGACCCCTGACCTGTTACGTTCTCCAGCGCAGACAATCGCTCTCGCATGCGCGAGACGTCTGTGTTCTCCGCGCGAACATCACTCTTGCACTACTCTCGCACGGTACAGAGCCATGGTCGAGAACTCATCTCCGCGCGACGGGAATCCTGTCGGGTACCACAGTGTAAGCAACAAATTTGCTGTCAGCTGCTCTGATGGCGACGAAGCAGTCTGCATTCTTGTAAGCCGCGGATACATCTGGCCCAAATAATTGTAGACTGAAGGTCAAAAAGGTGATAACGTGGGCTGAGATTGGTCAAACGATAATTTTCGCTGAAACTTCTGCTATGGGGGTTATCGAGGGTCCTGATCACGAATATGACATTCATTTTTGGCGCTGGCGCCATTTGGCGCCAGGTGGCGCCACAACTGATTCCCACTAAATTCGCTGTAAACTTCTGTATAGGGGTTATTTGGGGGTCCTGATTACGAATATGACATTCGTTTTTGTTTGGCGCTATTCGGCGCCTGCTTCCTGCTCGTCTGCGCCCTCGCACTAATTAGATCGCAATCAGGACTAAGCCTTTGAATAGTGGAGGGCTCCAAAGTGAGTAGGCCACTCCCCTGTGGTCTGACACACTCCAACTTTTGCCACACGGTGCGTGGTTTACCCACTCCGGAGTTTCACTCCCCTCCCCTAAGCTTAGTCGTTGTAGGTGAGAAAGCTTAGAAAATATGCGTTAAACAGCACGAATGTCAAAAATGAGTGTCATATTCGTGATCAGGGCCCCAAATAACCCCTATACAGAAGTTTACAGCGAATTTGGTGATAATCAGTCGTGGCGCCAATGGCGCCAGCGCCAAAAATGGATGTCATATTCGTGATCAGGACCCTCGATAACCCCATAGCAGAAGTTTCAGCGAAAATTATTTTTTGACCCATCTCAGTCCCCACTGGGGTTGTAATAGTGCAATAGTGCCTGTTGTTGGATATCATCATCGGCGATGGTGTTCAGAAAGTCATGGTAGCACTTGCAGCAAGCATCTCGCAAGGAAGGGGGGGGGAGGTTTGAACATAGGAAGCAAGAAATTCGCCGAGTATGGTCGTAGCGTAGTAGCCCTCTTCCATCGCAGAAAAGGACTCTGTTTCCAGGACGATGTCTAATATGTTGTTGCTGTCGCTGATGTTTGATCCCATATTTCTCCTTTTTGCCATTTCAAACATGTTGTCTTCTGTTGGATTCAATTCGCCGCTGTATTTTCTGCCGTTGCATGCACAAAAAGGTGTCGGACTCGATTCTGCCCATTCGTCTGCTGTGCTGTCTGCTTTCGGTAAGGAATTTTCCGTTCAATATGTTTTCCACCCATTTTGTGAGCCAATGTTTTTAGGGCTTAGCAACAGTATTGGTCGTCTTGTATACGGTATCATAGCTGATCACAAGCTACCGCTTCCTTATGGTTGGGGTAGTGACGTAGCTCGAAATAGATTATGGATGTACAACATTTCACTCTCGGTATTTTTCCGTTCAATCTCAGCTAGCCTTCTTGTCTTGAAGAGCTGTTCCATTTCAATAAAAAAAATCGTGGACTTGATTCAGATTTGTGGTCTACTTACCACATTCTGCTTCCTCTTTACGAGTTTCTTTTCACTCTCACTCTACGCCGCTTTGCATGGATTTTTTCTCGCAGCTTACATTTGCCTAGCAAGTGTCATTCTTGTCGACCTTCTTGGGCTGGATAAGCTCACCAATGCTTTTGGTCTTTTGCTCCTATGGCAGGTAATTCTAATGTCCTCACCTATCTGAATTTGGTTCCGTAAAGTCAGTCTTTTCAGGGAATTGGTACTGTAGCTGGGCCACCTATAGCTGGATATCTTGCTGACATCACCAATAGCTACGTTTGGTCTTTTGTCTTCAGTGGCATCAACTTGCTGGTGAATATATGAATGAGCTCAAATGTCGCATTGATTTTTTTTCAATGGAGATAAGTACAAGTTTTGTTTAGGTTTCTGGTTTGATGCTGTTCTCTATTCCATATCTTCAAAGGAAGCGAACCATAAGTACAGCTCATTGAAAACGTGAGTGTACTTATAGAGCTGTGTCGCTGAGAAAACGTCTCGGGTGACAGATACGCGTTACGCTCGGTGATTTCATGTTTCTTTTTCTATTTTTGTGATTTTTCTTGCTTCCTCTGCTTGTATGCTGTGACGGCCTTAGGCAGTTGATGTCAGTACTTATTGCCTGTTGCCCTATGTGGAATTTTTTTTAACAATAGGTACCTTTTTGAACCTTTGCAATTCGCGTTCTAATAGGTCTCCTTTACACATATCATGCTCTCATGTGATGCTATCTCTTGATTAGGTTTTTACCGTCTTCTTTTTTATGTGATAAGCTAATCCCAGGTGCACATGCAGTTATCTGTGTTATGCGATAGCTCATTAGTAATGCTATCTTCCTAATATCATTTGTGTATAAATACAGCAGCGCACGCGTTTTCTCTGTATATTATACCTTCAGATCACTGTTGAACTACATTACGCTTGGGAGCGCTCCTTTGTTGTCGTTTGAAAAATTCTATTTTGTTGGCATTTCCTTGGTGATTCGGAATATACGTTTTGTTTCAAGTTTTTTTTTCGTGTACATTGTAATGTCGTTTTTATCGTCTACAGGGACGATTTTGATCTGTCTTCGTCTCGCTTTGTCTCTGACGAGAATCCCTCCGAGCAGTATCTCATTTCGGACCTTTGTGATAAGGATCCACTTAGTTTATCTCGAACCCACGCGACGCACTACCAAATTCATTTGTAGAAATCCTGTAGCAAGTGAGGTTTCTGGACTCACAACTGCAAAGTTTATGCCACTTCCACGACTAAAAGTACACTGCGACGCATAATCTTAGTTCCACCTACAAATTTCCCAAAAACTAGAATTGGAGATGTTTTTGAAAAGGGCTCTACAGACAAATTGTGACACATGCAAATGCGAATCTGAATATTATCACGGAAATCCAGTTTGAGAAAGCAACAATTTTTTATCCTCATTTTTTCGAAAATACCCGCTTGCCTATGACGCAAAATCATAGTTCCACCTCATGTTTCTCCGCTGCATTTTGCTTTTACCCAATCAAATTTTGAAATTATTACCCACTCAAGTCCCTTAGCTTATAGCAAAGGCAAAACCGCTGTCGAACTTCCGTAAAAGGAAAACCCTAGCAAAAGAGACGCAGGAATTGTTGAAGTGTCAGCTCACGCTGAATTTGTCGGGGTGACTTCATAACGAACAAATTTCTCAAGGATGCTACAGGATATGATTCTGGGAAGAACCCTGATTACTATCCGACCGAGATAAGCGCCGTATCGTGAGAAAATAATACGACTTTATCCAGACGGGTACGGAAATCAAAACTTCTTCAAAAGTTAGTGTCTCAATGGAAGCAGTTTCACGTGTTTTACAACACGCTCGTGACAGTCCATGTCTGGAAGATAAGAAATACGCTTTTAGTGAAAAGAAATCAGAGAAGAAAACGAGCCATTTTTCTCAAAAAGTTTTGCTAAGTAGAGCGAAGTGAGGACACTTTTTTATCTGTGATATTTTGGAACCTCTGACCATCCTCCTGATCATTTTCTTCTCCATACATGTGTGCTACGAAGTAGAAAACCGATCTGAGAAAGAAAAACGTTAAGAGAAAGAAAGACGCAAATCAAAAGTCGCAAATGAAAGAATGCCACCGCTTCACTCGAACTGGCTGAGCTTTCAAAGAAAAATGGCTCGTTTTTCTCTCTGATTTCTTCTCACTGAAAGCGTATTTCTTATCCTCCAGACATGGACTGTCACGAGCGTGTTGTAAAACACGTGAAACTGCTTCCATTGAGACACTAACGTTTGAAGAAGTTTGATTTCCTTACCCGTCTGGATAAAGTCGTATTATTTTCTCACGATACGGCGCTTATCTCGGTCGGATAGTAATCAGGGTTCTTCCCAGAATCATATCCTGTAGCATCCTTGAGAAAATTTTCGTTATGAAGCTACCCCGACAAATTCTAGCGTGAGCTGACACCTTAGGTTTAGGTTTAGGTTTAGG